CAAATACAAAGATAACTAACTAGATTGAACACCATAAAATATTCCCAACAATCTCCCCCTTGGTGATCAATCGTGTTGAATCAGCATTGCAGCGCAGATATCTTTGTCTTTGTTGTTATTGAGCTTCCTTTGTCTTTGAACTTGACTTCTGAGGAAGGCTATCTGAAGAAATCCTTACAATCTCCCCTTTGATGTCTTCTTGACAATTTGATCTTTGATGCCGGGGGTTGAGGGACCTTCAGTATCTTGCATGTAGTCCTTGCCTTCCAGAAGTTGCTCTTGATCAGCTTAGATGAAGTCCGGTGACGCCTCTAGAATGAATGTTCTTTGGAGAATAGGAGACGCCCATGGAATTCATCTTCAGGACAGGAGTATTTGACCTCTGTCTCCTCCACAATGTAGTCTTTTTGACTATTTGGAATGAATGTATTTGAGGAGAACTTGTCGGTGGCACAGCGGAACATAAAGATCGTTGATTTGTGAGTGTAGCTGACCATTTGATTTGAGTTGCGGAGATAGTAGAGAGGGTGTTGAATTTTGTGATGGAGGAGTGAAGTGTCCCAGAATGATTTGTTCAGTGTTAACAGCATGTGGACCACTCTCCCCCTCATGACGATCCAATGAATCGGGACATCATGCTTTTATTCTTTTATTCTGCGGAAATAAAAACATGAAAAACAAGCAGAATCTAAAAAAGATAACGTAGCCCCCCGGGATCGTGAAGACGCCCGTTATCATCACTATAGAGATAAACTCTAAAGCAATGGCCTGAAAATGTTGGTGATTCTTATGTTGCAACAGCAGGACTTCCTTCCAATTATTGGTCTACATCTGTATTAGATGAGCCCTATGGAAGTTCTCGCAAGTCTTGAAGACTAGCAACTGACTCTAAAATGTGTCTGTGTCCTAGAAAATTTCAAAACATTTGGGAGTGAGTAACTAGACACGACGTGATCAATGAAAGTTCAGTGGCATGGGGCTGAGGCCACTGTAGTCAGTATTACTTGCCTCGGAAGGAGACAGTAATGAGAGATGCGGTTCCCCGTGAACTATGATTAAACACCTGTCTGTTGGGAGACAAGTGAGTGGTCTAGGGTAGGGTTGTGCATGCGCCGTTTGGACAAAATGCAGCGACTTCTACCCGGGATCTGAATAAATTCAGTCCTGAACCTATGAGGATAGTCGAGAGTATTTTAGTGGCTAGGAGCAAATGTTCAATTCATAGCAGGCAATTAAGGTAGCAGACTCATCATTGATAATTGTTTTTCTTCTCACTTGAGCCTTCTGCTTCCTAATGCTCATAATGTTCACTCACTCACTCGCTCACTGACGCACTTACGCTCGGCTTTGTCCCTTAGGTAGGCTTAGTTGGGTTTACTAAGCCATAGGGACATGTTCTCTCATTACTTTCTTCATTTTCTCTCTGTGCTCCCCCTCAACTGGAGCACCCGGTATGCTTTGTCATTGTTAGGCACCGGGGAGGATAACATTGAACACTCCCCCTAGAATGTTGCATCCGTTGAGAGATTCCTTGCTTTGTCGGTGTAAGGCGCCAGGAGGAGAAAACTGAAACTCCCCCTCAGAATGTGCAAGGATTGATTGCTCACAGCTTGTCATACCCGCCATGTGTGTGGAGCAATCTAAACATGTACCACACATGACGGTTTCCCTGAACTCACCATGTAGAATTTCAGCATATTGATGAACACATAATGTTGATGAGTCAGGGGAGGCTTCAACAGTTGATTGTTGATTGTTGTAAGATGACCGTTGACACGAGGTTGATTGAATTATCTACGATTTTCAGACCTTTACATTGAAGTTTAGAAAAGTTTTGACCTCAGGGTTGACAATGAAAGAATTTGAACAGATTTGCCTAAGTTTTGGCCTGGACATCGGTGATTTACTATGTTTGTCGGAAAACTCACGTTTTGACCCTCAAAGACTGCGATTGAGGGCGCGTGAGATTGGGTTCTGGGGCGTCGCCCAAGAATTATTGTAGATCTTTGCGTTAGCTTTCCAACAAAAAAAAGTTTGCTCAAATCGGATCACCGAGTCAAAAGTTATGGACAAAACAGTGCGGTGTCGCAGAAAATCTCAAATATTGAGTTGTTGAGGAAAATCTTCGAGGTTGAGGTTCTCGATGTTGAATTTCGAGAGCAGGTGAATTTAAACAAAATTCTAAGGCAAAAACTCGAAATCCAAATCTGGAGATTTTAATTTCTAGTTTGCCTTGAAGAGTAATGACGAAATCCACCTGCAAAACAGACCTCAGAATAACGAAATCTTCAGAATTTCAAAATGTTTGAACATCGAAAACTTTGGAGTTTCGAAAACCTCATAATCTCGAAAGCTTGCTGTTTCAAATAACATCAGAACATCGAAAACTCCTGAAACATTTATATAAACAGGGAATCATTCAGAGATCCTTATAATGTAAAGCTTCGATGAACTGCAAAGGATGTCAAGATTCGAATTATGAGTTCCAAGAAGCTGCAAACTTTGAAAGATTCAAAACATCGAGAAATTCCGAAAATTCCGAAAATTTTTTAGAATGTCGAAATCCAAAACATCGAGTTCCTAAAACTCGAAATAAAACCCAAAACTCGCAATTCCAAAACTCTCAAATTTTTAAAAACTCGAGGTTTAAAACTCGAGGTAAGAACTCGAGGTTAAAAACTCGAGTTCATGACCGCGAGTTTACAAACTCGAGTTCATGACCGCGAGTTTACAAACTCGAGTTCATGACCGTGAGTTTAAAAACTCGAGTTCATGACCGCGAGTTTACAAACTCGAGTTCATGACCGCGAGTTTACAAACTCGAGTTCATGACCGCGAGTTTACAAACTCGAGTTCATGACCGCGAGTTTACAAACTCGAGTTCATGACCGCGAGTTTACAAACTCGAGTTCATGACCGCGAGTTTACAAACTCGAGTTCATGACCGCGAGTTTACAAACTCTCGGTTTTAAAAACTGTCGAATTTTGAGAATCTGAAAACTGTTCTGAATAGCCCTGAAGGTCGCGATCCCTCCTGTATCTGTTTCAAGTCAAAATCGTTTCTGCAGGCATATAAAAGCATAAACTCGAGTTTTCAATGAGAGTTTTTCGAAAATGAAAATTTGCAGAAAACGAAAAAGAAGATATGCTGTAGAATCGGTTTTGAGAGGCGATTCCAACAGTATAATTTTTACAGATTTTCGTTCACAAACAAGATTACAGGAGCAAAACTCTATATGAAGAAAAAGAGAAGAAAAGCAGAGCATTCTTCGTTAGATCCAAGAAAATCGCAGATACATTCAACCTGTTTCACGCCTCGGCTCTGATACCAATTGATAATCCCAGAATACTTAACAAACAACAAATATAGCAGTTATAGAAGAAGCAGATAGAAAGATATGTAGATATTATACGAATCTGGTATACCGTGTAAACCCGCCGCTGCTCTCCCTGGAGAAGGAGAGCAGCGGCAAACCCTATCTCTCTCTATCTTTACGCCTCTGAACTCTCAGCCTCTTTCGATCGTTAGGGTTCCCGTAAGTTAGCCTCCTTTTATAGGAGAAGTTGGCTAACTTACGGGTTACAAGGAAGCCCACGGACTGATACACATTTGTGGCCCGTATTACACGATTAATTAATAACTACACAAATACAAAGATAACTAACTAGATTGAACACCATAAAATATTCCCAACAAAAACTATATTTCAAGTGGTATAACAAGTTGAGAGAGTAAAACAAGTTACTCTTTCAAAAAAATGAGTAAAACAAGTTACATACTCCGGCGCGTGAGTTACATTTGAAAACACTGGATTTACATTTTACAATAATGCGAGTTACATATCAATACAAAGGATTTACACCATGAAAAAAATTAGACAAAAATAAGAGTACTGTTCATGCGAATTTTGTTAAATTAAACCTAAATGACACCATTTTATATGTGGGAGTAGGATGTTCACCGTGACATGATCCCATAGTATAACAACTGATGCAACCCTACAAATGTAGCAGTGGGGGACTAAACGATAAATCCAAACCAGCCTACCAATTTAATGAAGCATGTAACAGATGAGAGAAATACTGAGGGAGAAAAATAGTGAAATATCACGTCAAATTATCAAGAGAAGGGCCACAAAAAATTAATGATAGGGGCGCGATGTGAGTCGAAAAAATGGAAAATGTTTTCAAGTCATCGATCAAAACCATGTTTCTGTTAAAAGAAATTTCTCTAAATAGGACCAAAAACGTTTTGAAATTCCAAAATAGGAGTATCATATTTTTTATTTCATGAATAGGAGTAATCTGCCAAGTTTGGAAGAAAATGCCATGTTTAATCAAAGCCTAGTAATGCCACGGTTGGCAGAAATTTACTCATATTTAGGGAATAAAAACATGATAGTCCTATTTTGGAATTTCAATTTTTTTTTACTCATATTTAAGGAATTCTCTCTTCTGCTCCTTGTTGTGAATTTTATATTAGTTAGCCGCCTCTCTCTCTAGGGTTGCTGCATCAGGCAACACCTAGCTTGTTTTGTCCGGCGGTGTTCGCTTAGGCGAGTACGGCGCCGAGAAGGTTGTTGCTATTGGAACAAGGAGGAGATCACAAGGAAGATTTTGGCAAGGTTCTGGCAAAAGGTTAAAGCAACAGGTTTACTTTTTTTATCGTTTTGTTTACTCTTTTTTCCTTGATTGTATTATCAGACATGTGACGAACGTTATTTTGATTTAATACTCCGTATATTAGTATGATTTGATGACCAAAAAAGGAATTCTCTCTTCTATTAATTGAAGAGATTTTTGCATAAACAAATTTAAAAGTAATAATAAAATTAAGATAACAATAACTTCAATTTATGTAACGCTTAATTTAACTCGGTGTTTGATTACAATAAATTAGCAATAACTTCTAGTCTTTATTACTCCAATTTACTAACGGACTACACAAGATATAGTATGTATATAATTAACAATTGGCTTTATGAATCACTGAGAATTGAACGAAACATATCGTTGTTCAACTATCTTGTCCTGTTCTTTCCTGGCCATCAATAAGGTCATTGTTGTTAATAACTTAATATTATTATGCTTACTATTGTTTTTTATATTTTGACCATTAATTATATTTTTTTGTTATAATTAATCTTGTAGGTAGGATCAAGAAAAATGGGGAGTTCACCAAAATGTTTGTATGTGACTGTGATTTTTGCGTTGATGTTATTGGTCATAGCCAACGCACGCGACACTATTGATGCCGCCACCGTTGCTCCTCCGCCTCAAGGTTCGGCCGGGGAAATTATACAAAAATGTGCTTCCGAGTGTATCATGAAATTCTGTCGCTCATCCGTTGTTTTCCTCCAAAATTGCCAAAAAGGCTGTTTCAAGAGCTGTTTGCGTCGAACACTGGCAAAACTCAAAAGGAATAGAAATGCACGATCATGACCAATTGTATTGATTATTGAACACAATGTAATAATAATGGCAAATGGTGGAGTTTGATAAATATATGGTATGTTTAATGTTTCATGCATGTACTTGGTACCTTAACGGGTAGACATTTGGTGAATGCATGCGAGTATTTATCTTGAGTTTTATGTGTCATTTTCATGTACAATTTGGTGTTTTTGTACATTCATATATTCTGCATGCAATAATTAAATAAAATGAAGTGAACAAAAATACTTGAATAATGAAACCAAATCCAGCGTATCATTGTCTCCTTAAAAAGAACTCGCTCACAACATAAGTAACAATCATCTCCCGAGGTAGAACGGTTTCTACGTTCTCGAGGGACATCGACTGATGGAGAGTGTACCCGGGGGTAGCTTATTCGATGGGTTACTGCAGGGAGTAACTTAGAGAGAAGTCAGAGCAAGTAAGTAAGAGAAAGAATAGTGAATTCGAATATATGAGTAATGTATTCAAGGCCTGTCTTACAAAGGGGAAAGGGGCAGCTATTTATAGTAGTAATAAATGCTAGATAGGGACACGTGTCAGCATTCTGGTGGTCGAGGGGTCACCTCAACCGGGGTGGCACCGGCACTCGCATGTGGCCGCATTAAATGCGGTGGTTGGATGCGACGTTTGTACCTTGTACGATGATCCAGCGCATGTGGACGAAAGATTTTGTCGAGGAGGATGCCTTCGGCTGTAGATGACAGTCCGAAGGCTCTGCGTACCGGGGGCCTCATAGTGCCGAGGGCTCCAATTGCTGAGGGCTTGGTTTTCAAGCCTTATTTTTCCGTAGTGTTGCTGAACCCGATTCTGTCACTGGTAGCCTTCGGCCATGGGGCCGAAGGCACCCCCTTCATGCATCGTGGGTTGCTTAGAGCTTCATTCTGCGGGGCTTGGCCCGTTTTGGGCCTGTTGGGCCTGAATGTAATAGTGGAAGTATGTGGGCCGGGGGGTCCCTGGGCCATATACTCCATCAGGAGTCCCTCACTCCTTTTGCCAAAAGGTACTTGAGGGAAAAGGAGTAATTGCGTTTGTCCTCTGATGCTGCTTTGTTGTCGTTTGTAAAAGTGGTGAGGAGTTTTGCGCTTGTGTGTTTGCCGAGGGCAGTCCCTCACTCCCCCACATTTTGGGGCCGAAGGAAAATTTTGACATTTTGTATTTTTGTGAATTTCCTGAAGGGGTCCTCCACTTCCCCACTCCTTGAGGCACATGTAATGTGGTGAAAAGGAGTAGGGTAGTGCCTGTTATTAGCATATGGCCGAAGGCCTCTCTTTTCGTTTCATTTTGGGGGGATGCCTCATTAAAAACCTCATTAGGAAAAACCCTTTGAGAAAAAATCCTAATGAGGGAAAAAGAGTGCACCGAATTCCCCCAATGATGAATAAAAAAGGTGAGCCCTTGGTTTGAGATGAAGAGCAATGTTGCCGCCGAGAGCTATCCGTGATCTGAGGGTTTGCTCGTTGATTTTGCCGAAGGCTTCTTGTTGGTGTCCTGGGGTGCCGAGGGGGGTCCCTCAGTCATTGGGGCTGATGGCGTGTTGACATAAGTGATGGCTCCTGTGTTGCCGAGGGGGTTCCCCGATTCTCAACATGTTGAGGGATAAGGGGTCCTGAGGGGTTTCCCGGTTGTTAGGCCGAGGGCTCCCCTTAATGAAGGAGTCTGAAGGATATTGCCCGAAGGCATGCACGGTGTTGTCTGAGGGTGCCAGATGAGGGAACTTAGTCTGTGAAAGAGAGCCGTTGAGACATGACCGTTGGAATATGACCGTTGGGATATAGCCGTTGGAGGTGATGTCCACGTGGCGTGTACCTGTTGGCTGACTGCGGGCGGGTGTCACCGGTTGGATGAAGCGACAGTGTGTAATGATGACCCTCCCATCGGGGGCCCGGTTTTTGGCCCAAGCCCGGAGTTGGGAGGCCTATAAATACCCGTGTCCGGCGCTATTTTGCTTTACGCATTCTTGTTGTAGCGAAGCTCTGGCAAAAAATTTCTAGAGAGAGAAACTACCCTTCGATCCAATCCCCATTTCTGAGTTAGTTCTTCCTTTCTTTTTGCTTCCTTAGTAGGGTTTTTTGCCTTGTGGTCTTAGGCCTAGTGGCAGTTGATCCTTAGGTTCTTCTTTTCTCGAACCCTTCGACCTCTAGCATTTACAAATGTCTTCACAAAGTGATTCCCAAGACATCTCGAGGGAGCCCTCGGCTGAGACAGAAAGCATTGCAGAGATGGAGTCTTCGAGCGAGCAACTCTCGGCCGGGAATGATTCGGTGGTAGATGAGGAAGTTCAGGACAACCTTCGGGTGGAAATGGAGGCCGAGGACTTCGAGCAAGAAAACGATGACGAGGAGCTGGTCCTCGCCGTCCAAGTTGCTGAGGAGGAGGAGCAAAAATAGAGGATGAAGGTCACCATTGCTGTTATGCCCCTCCGAAATGATGCTGAGGCCGAAAGCTCTACGCCCCTTGATCCGGAACCTCTCAGTGTAGCTCCGGGCAAGAAGAAGAAGAAGATGGGAGCCCCCAATAAAAAGGGCAGTGCTGCTGATCTTGGGAAACCAGTGGGGATACCAGAAGGGTACTCGTGGTTGAACACTGCTGCCCTGGCGCTGAAGTCAAGGACTGACAGGGCAGAATGCTACGTGACACAGCTGCACGTGGGGCCCTCGGTGACTGTGGTGGAGCCGGGGCCGGATGATGTGCTATCCCAAGCTCCCGAGGGCTGTTTTGCTGTCCACATACTCTCCGTCTCCATGGGCCTTCGTTTTCCTCTACATCCCTTCCTCGTCGAATACCTCCGGTTTGTGGGCTTAGCCCCCTGCCAGTTGACCCCAAACAACCACTCATACATCGCTGGTTTCCTGAGCCTCTGTCGGTCCTGGGGGCGGCTCTGAGCCTTGATCTTTTCTTCCAGAGTTTCAACCTCTGCTGGGGGGTCACGCGAATGCCGAAAGCTTCGCAAATTTGCAACAGATTCCCAAGTGGAGGATGTTCGCTGAGGCGCCCTTGTCGCATAAGGGTTGGAAGGACCGTTTCTGCTACGTTAGGATGGCGGAAAACCCGTTCCCAGGGGAGCCGAGGGATCACTTCAAGCGGCATCCGAAGGTAGGGAGTGCTGCCCTCAAGAAGGATGGGAAAAAGCTCACCAAGATTCTGGAAGGTCGTAAGAAGAATGTGACGATCAAGGAGTCCATTCTCGAGCCGGATCTATATGACCTCGGCTTTCGGCGCTATCGTTTCCTAGGGGAACGGGATGAGAAGTACCCCATTTTTGATGGAGCCTTCGAGGGCGCAGGAGGTAGTTCCCGGGGGCTCTTGCATTTTGTACTTAGAAAATTTTTTGTAGCTTATATACATATTTCTTTTATTTTGACCCCTCGGTCTCATTGACATGTGTTTTTTTGTAGGTGCTAAAATGGACATCAATTCCTTCGTTGCCTTGAAGAAAACAAAAGGCCAAGGCGCAGGGGAAAAAGGAGCTGGGCAAGCAGAAGCCCGTCGGTGATTTTTTCAAAAAGGGGGGTGAGCCCTCGGCCGCCCCCTCTGATGATGTCGTTGCTGCCGCCAAGAGGAAGGCGTCCGGAAAAGGAGTCACCCCTAGCGGCAAGAAGCTGAAAAAGGGGGATGCATAGAAGAAGGCTCCCCCAGTCGTGATCGTGGATGAACACTCCACCTCCGGGCCACATGTTGTATTGGCGACGACTGCTTCCAACCTCCCTCTGGCGCAGAAGGGTGAAGTGGGCTTGCCCCGGGAGGATATACAGTTCTCCCACCTGAAGGGGACCGCCATTATACATGGCACCGTGGACCCTCGAGAGTTTTTGAGCGGGGCCACTCCTTCGCTGGATAAGACAGCCCTCGACAAGCTTGATGACGAGGCCCTTGAGTCAAAGATCCTCCGGTCCTCCCTTAGTGTAAGTTCCTCTCCTCCTTCGTTACCCATTTAGTGTATTTGCATAATAGTCTAACTCTTTTGTCTATTGTTAACAGGCCTGCATAGCCCTCAGTGAGCATGCCCGGAGGTTTGACGAATGGCGCCTTCATAAGGCGCAACAGGATGAAGCTATGAAGAAGCTCATCCCCAATAATGCTGAGGCCATGAGGCAGATGGCCCGGCTAGAAGAGGACCTATGGCAGGGGAATGCTGAGGCGGAGAGAGCCACAAAGGAGAAGGCCGAAGTGGAGAGGGCTGCTGCTGAGGCCTCGAAGAAAGCCGCCGAGGAAGCCGAGGCCGCCAAGGCGGAAGCTGTCGCCAATGCTGTAGCTGCCTTCATCGCTGAGGGGTGGAGGGCCGAGGACCAGAATCAATGGGTGGCCTCAGTGGTGCAGGCCTCGGTAGATGCTTGGGTGAAAGGCCCTGGAGCGATGTGTCTGGCCCGGAAGGATGAGGATTATTACGCTGGGGGAGAGTTCTTCACTCAGGCCCTCATCTACCGGAGGCTCGCCCGGCACTTCGGGGTGGACAAAAAGGACTTTAATCCTTCGGCCTACGGTCTTCCCCCCCTTCAAACTGACGTCAGAGTCCCCCTCCCTGCAGATGTCGAGAGGCCAGACTTAGAAGATTCTGAGCTGCTGAAGGATGCCAAGGATGAAGAGGAGGCCGGAGGGGATGTCTCTTCCAAGCCAGCCAAAGAGGTTGCCGCTGAAGTCGCCAATCCATGATCTGTACTTTGACAATTTTTGAACAATACCTTTTTGTAATGTAACATTCTGTGGCTTTCGGCTTCGGCCACCGTTGTAATCTAAACACATTATCTTTCCTTTGTTGTGAATGAATGTTTTCTTCTCCTTGTCTGTTGTTCGAATGAATTCCTTTGTTTTTTGTTCTTGTGAATGGATGTCTTCGTCTTTTTCTTGTGGATGAATGCCTCCGTATTTTTCTTGTGATTGAATGCCTTCGTATTTTGATGTTTGAATTGTCAGCCATTTAGGACTTAGAAAATTTTTCCAAGTGTTTGTTCAGTACTAGGCCCTCGGTTGATTCTTCCTTCTGAACTTGGGTAGCTGTCATGAGTGGACCGAGGGCCAAAAATTTAGGACTTAGAAATTTTTTCTAAGTGTTGCTTACAACTTTTGCCCTCGGTTGACATCTTCTTCTGTGTGCCTTGTGTTGTGTAAGCTGTAAGCCCTCCTCCATTGATAG